AGCCGACTTCAGACGAGCAGACTTGAGAGGCGACGTCGTCAGACGAGCCGACTTGGGAGGCAACGTCGTCAGACGAGCCGACTTCAGACGAGCAGACGTGTGAGGCGACGTCGTCAGACGAGCCGACTTCAGACGAGCAGACTTGGGAGGCAACGTCGTCAGACGAGCAGACTTGGGAGGCGACGTCGTCAGACAAGCCGACTTGGGAGGCGACATCGTCAGACGAGCCGACTTCAGACGAGCAGACTTGGGAGGCGACGTCGTCAGACAAGCCGACTTCAGATGAGCAGACATGGGAGGCGACGTCGTCAGACGAGCCGACTTCAGACGAGCCGACTTGGGAGGCAACGTCGTCAGACGAGCCGACTTCAGACGAGAAGACTTGGGAGGCAACATCGTCAGACGAGCAGACTTGGGAGGCGACGTTGTCAGACGAGCAGACTTGGGAGGCGACGTCGTCAGACGAGCAGACTTGGGAGGCAACGTCATCAGACGAGCAGACTTGGGAGGCGACGTCGTCAGACGAGCCGACTTCAGAGGAGACATCATCAGACGAGCCGACTTCGGAGGGGGCGGCGACGTCATCAGACGAGCCGACTTCAGAGGAGACGTCATCAGACGAGCCGACTTCAGACAAGCCGACTTCAGAACAGGAACAGGCGTCAACTTCAGAACAGGAACGGGCGTCGACTTCAGAACAGGAACGGGCGTCGACTTCAGAACAGGAACGGGCGTCGATTTCAGAACAGGAACGGGCGTCGACTTCAGACCAGGAACGGGAGTCGACTTCAGAACAGGAACGGGCGTCGACTCCAGAACAGGAACGGGCGTCGACTTCAGAACAGGAACGGGCGTCGACTTCAGAACAGGAACGGGCGTCGACTTCAGAACAGGAACGGGCGTCGACTTCAGAACAGGAACGGGCGTCGACCTCAGAACAGGAACGGGCGTCGACCTCAGAACAGGAAGGGGCGTCGACCTCAGAACAGGAAGGGGCGTCGACCTCAGAACAGGAAGGGGCGTCGACCTCAGAACAGGAAGGGGCATCGACCTCAGAACAGGAAGGGGCGTCGACTTCAGAACAGGAAGGGGCGTTGACCACCATCGACTTCTGATCTGGGGGCGTCGGCTTCGGGTCCGGGGGCGCCGACTTCTGGTCCTTCGATTTTCGGACTGTCGACCTCTGGACCACTGGCCTCTGGACCGGAACCGTCTGCTTCTGGCCCGGAGGAGTCGGCTTCTGGTCCCTCGACTTCTGGACCGCCGACTTCTGGACCGCCGACTTTTGGACCGGATCCGGTACGTCTGCTTCCAGGTCGGTACCCTCTGCCTCTGGGCCCGCTCCGTCGGCTTATGGGCCGGTGGCAGAGCCGCTGCTAGGAGAGCTTGGAGCGATGAGGAGAGACGGGAGGTCAGCTCGTCCAGCTCTAGCTCCCTGAGGCTGAGCGTCCAACGGAGCTGGGCCAGCTCAGCCCGCTGACCGGCGAGCTCCGCTGGGTGAACCCCGCACTCGCTCCTCTGGCCCTGAGACGAGGAGGATAGAGCGTCCAGGTGAGACTCCTGGCGGCTGATGAGCTCGGGGAACCGGCCGAGCTCCGCCCGTTGCTCTATCAGCCGGGCTGCGATTGCTGCTCCTTCCTCTGCAGCCGACGGAGGCGCTGGTTTGGCAGGAGACGGGACTGGTGGTCTGGCCGGGGGCGTGTCCGAACTGCCGCGCCGGACACGGCCAGCGGCAGACTCGAAGCTCCGTCCAGAAGCGCAGGGCTGCGGTGGCTTCCGGCGTCTCTCCCCACGCCGTGGACCGACTGGGGGAACAGATCGCCAGCCTCGTGCCCTCGAAACTGGAGCAATCTGGCAGCGGCTCCCGGTCCAAACATGCCTCCGGTTCCGGGAGGACAGGGAGGAACGCCGCGGCCGAAGGTCGGCGATGCAGGCGGCAGCGAGGCGGAGCTGGGGCTGGAGAGGGAGAAGCCGGCTGGTGGGTCAGGGTAAGCCACTGGAGCAGGTTCTCCCAAGGCAGAATCTCCCGGCTGGATCCATCAACGGTTTCTGTTGGAGTCATTCTGTCACGAGCGTGCCGGTGAGCAGAGCGGTGATCAGGTGAGGATCCAAACGCAGGACAGGGAGACAGGCAGACAGGTAGGATGTTTAAAGGTTTTAATAATGAGCACGCTGGACATGGGAAACAATGACTCCACACAGGACACAAAACAGACGGGGTTTAAATACAGGAGGACCGGGAGCTAAGGTGATTGGGAAACAAGAGGCAGGTGGGGGTAATTAACGAGACAGAGCTGAATTAAACAGGGAGACAGGACAGGGTGTGACACAATGTTGATTCAATTACAAATTTTCAACTTATTTCAGTATTTCAGTGTTGATCCACGGTCAAAGTTTCAACCATAACTATAAATCAACCATTTTGACCAAAACTCAACTTTGAAATAACATTTTTGCTATCTGGGGTTGGTATCTGTCACCAAAAAAGTGTTCCAAATGAGCATAGCAATTTCTGAGCTTAGACCATTTCAGAGTCATACTTGAAAAACACTTTCTGGGTGAACAGGCAGTAGTTAGTCATCAACAGGCCTGGGCATACCTTGAGTGTGATCCCTGAAGAGGGCACAGGGTCATACAGCTGTGATAGAGAAGGCTGGAGAGTAGGCTTAGCCGCATCAAATATCACGAAGACACACGCGACCAGTATAAGATGTATAGTTAGACCAGAAAGCTGGAATACTGGTCGATGGAGACTGGAGACTGGTGCAGGAGCGGATCGTGGAGAGATCAGCGCTGAGATGGATTTTAGAGGGCTCTGTACTGGGATGGACTCCAGAGGGCTCTTGGTTGGCGTGCGAGTGAAGCCAGAAAGACCTGGGTCAGTCTGTACTGGTACAGAGTCAGGGTAACCTTCAAACTCCTCTTTGGCAGGTGAGGAACCCACTGCAGGGCAAGGGTCTCAGGCGCAGATAGGACACAGACACGAGGCCTATTACAGACCAGAGAAACACCATAACAAATAGCTGCATGGTCATCACTGTTATTGGTGACAACACCACAAGAAGAAATGAGGTCCTGGGGAAACTTCAAGGGCAGCGGATGAGTTAACTATGTCCAGAGCTTCAACACATAGAGGTCAATAATGGGCTCTAATTGAGCGATTGATCAGGTCTTTGCCACGTTTCTGTTGAGGAAGACAGCACAGGCACATATTGCAATACTGTTGTGTGGGAGCCAACTGCAGCTTCTACAGGAAGTAAGATCAGTGTGTCCTCTGCTATAAAAAATACTGTGGGGCCATGATTCTTCTCCAGGGACAAGGAACAGTAGGAGGGAAGCACCACACAATGTTTTTTCCTGTGACACCAAAGACCTGCAGCACAATAATGTGGTCATTACGCCCAACAGTGAGGATGCACTCATGTTTGAGTTTCCTCTCCTTCCTCTCTGAGCGTTTGTTGCTTACCAGGATGTGACAACAGATAAGAAAAGAAAAGGTAGAAAGTAGAGACTATATATATATATATATATATATATATATATATATATATATATATATATATATATATATATATATGTGTGTGTATGTATGTATAAAATCCAAACACACCTCCTGAAATAAAAATGGTTTGATTTAAAAAGTACTTAAATCAAAGCTCATTTCGCTGAGGACAGAAACAAAACCACTATGACCAGAGAAGAGTTTGGTCCAACTGCCTCTATAAACACTCCAATGTGGAATACAAAATGTCCATCCATTTGTTGTTTTTTGTGTTTGGTTTTGGGAATTATTTCCCTCTTCAAGCTGTTTCAAAATGTCTCTTATTGGGACATCACAATAACGGAATTTAGGATATGAACACCCAACACCCCCACCCCCCCAGCCAACCTTATAGCAGCCAATTAGAGTGGGTGGGTGTGGTCAGCAGCAGTTTATTTGCATTAAAGTGACAAAGCCTTTGAACTAGCTCTTTCTGGAAGGCACTGAAGAATAAAGCTGTTGAAATCTCTTTGGGAGGAATTTAGTGTAAGAACTTCATCAGCATGTTTGGTATCAAATATAGATCTAGTATAACCTAAGAAACAGTTTTAATATCTAAAATGTCCCACTTAAAGAGCGGGTCAATTGAGCCTCGGAGTCCTTCTCCACCCACGTATCAATTTTAAAAAATGCAACATTAATAGGCGTTGCCTGGAGGACCGAGAGGGCGGAGCCGCGGCAGTGACGAAGACGATGGCTAACTAGACGAAGCTAGCTCCCTTCACTCTGAGCAGTTATTAGAAGTGGAGGACGTTTCTCCCCCTCCTTACACAGACACTCGAGAAGAAAGGGACCAAGTCTATTTGGAGGAGACAAGCGGACCTGAGTCTTATTGTTCTGAGCTTGTGAGTTGCCTGAAACTCCCAGAACCGACCCAACAGAATCACCTCTGAAAGGTAAGTAGCCGTTAGCCATAGCATTGGATTAGCTGCAGGGTTTGTCTCCACGGCCCTAAAAAGCTAGTATTCAGCATGTTTTAGAGGTTTATCTGCTTCAGCACACCTGGTTTTAATCAGCAACAAATAGCTGAGCTGCTTAACAGCTAATCTAACCTGTTAAAGCAGGAAAATCCACTGAAACGTGCTGGATAGCAGCTCTCTGGTAGCCCTGGGCTCAAGCTACAGTCTGCTGCATATAAAGTTATGAAAATACCCCATGAGAAAATTATTCTGTAATGTGTTCAGCCCACTAAAACTGGCCTGATTTCTTTATTTATTTACTAATAACAGCTGCTCTCTCGGTTCTAGGTCCTCTGGTGTCTGCAGGTGGTCTCCTCTGCTGGTGCCATCAGGATCAGGAGCTTCCAGAAGAATGTGCCTTTCAATGACTCTTTCCCCCTTATTTGTTATATTAATTAAATAAATCTCAATTTATATATTTCCTGTTTTTGTTCATGTCCATAAATACTTAAACATGCTTGAAATTAAAACGAGATTTTAACAGTGAGGTGCTAGTTTAATTCATCACAATAGAGCAAGTTAAACATGCAACAAAAATGTGATAATCAATGTAATTTATAAATATCCATTAAAATATCAAAACTGGAATCTAAATGAGATATTTGGCAGCACAAAAAACTTGTCAAACACAATATTTATTATAATAATTGTAGGCAGACAGGAGACAGAGCTGATGGAGGTTCTCAGTCATCGAAGGATGGCTGAAGGCTTTCCAGGAACAGGAGATGTGGTGTTGTCTCTTCTCTCTCTATTCTGCCAGATGAGCTGATAGGTTACAGGTGTGTGAGGACATCCTCATGCTGTCATAACCAGATGACAGGAGTTATCAGGTGATCAGCCAGGCTAATGAGTTGCAGAAAGAAAACAAATTCAGGACAGTGTACAATATGTGGTGTTGCTCACCTTATGTGCTCTTATAGAATATTAATGTGTGCATGCCTCATGGTGTAGAGTCCATATTTTGCTGAGTGTCCTGCAATAATGCAGGTTATTAGTTAATTTACTTTTGATAGCAAAAACAAAATATTTAATGTAAAAGTTATTTTCCAGGTGAATCAGCTCACACGTCACCACCAAGTGTCACAGGGGCAGAATCAGTAGCCTCCGTCATGATGTAATCACATACTTATTTAATTGTTAATATCTTAAAAATTCTGAAATGTTTTAATTTTTTTTTTTACCTTGAACAGTTCACTGAGCTTGCACTGTCATTGAGGTGGAAGCTGGAATCAACAGCAGACACCTTACATCTTGGTCTTTTCAGGGGGTGCGGCCGCTGCTCTGGGACTTTCTGGAAGATGAATTTCCATCATGGTCCCTGTGGGTCACCAGACACACTGCGGCTGTGAACTCCATTCTGGCTGGCTATGTAAAAACAAAGAAGCAGCACATTTATAAATGTTTAAAAGAGCATAAAATCACGTGTAACAATAATCTGTAAAACAAATTAAAACTAGAAGGTGATAATAAAATGTTTACATAGAAGATTATTAAAAATAATTCACCTTTGCTACAGGGAAGGTTTCACATCAGCCTGGACAAGTGCATTCTTGCAGCTAAATCAGTCTGACAGCCAGTGTCTTGGGTAGATTTGGCCTGAAAAAAAAATAGAAGCACATTGTTGTTGGAGTTTATAAAGTCAGATAATATACAAAAGAATCTCCTATATAGGCGCTTTATAACATTCCTAGTGTGTGATCGTTGTTATAACGTAAAAGTCAGTCACACATGATGTGGAGAGCCTGAAATGCGACCTCCTGAACAGAATTCCTTACAGAACCGGGTCACAAGCTGGATTTCACGCTGTAATGCTGTCTGTCAACTAGTGCAGCGTTAGTTAGAGACACTGTTGCAGAATTGCCGACTGACTAGCTAAAGGAAATGAACCACGTCTCTCAGACTTTGCATTTAGGTAGGGAATTGTCTTTAGAAGATGTTAAAACGTTTATTTAGCTTACTCACCTCAGACTGGAGCCCGCCGTGGTGGGGGAGCAGAGTCGGTGGGCTGCATCTAAATCACGGAAGAGCCACGGTGGGCAGCCTCCCTCTTCAAACAGAGACGTGCAGAATCGCGGGTAAAATGCCCACAGAGTCACCGCAAGCATACTACATTACACCATCTCACCAATACTAAGACGATATGAACACTAAACCCGGAATACTTCCCCAATTACATTAACAGCCAAACACTAACTAAACTACAATATCCAACAGCCAAGCTAACACTAAATAAGTATTTATAACACTAAAAGATATGCTAAAGACTAGGATATGCTAATGCTATATGCTAATGCTGAACTACCGCTGACCTCCTACGCTCGCTTGCAAATCCAAATCCCACGCGCCACAGGGCGTGGCCGAGACGCTCGTTGCTTTTATAACTTTGGCACGGAGCTGCTACGTAGTACTCTACTGGTTTACGTAGTACTTTACTCTTTAGCCATTGGCTAAAATTTATTCAAAATGACTCAAATTCTATGTTTTCAGCTGAAGGTGGCGCATTACTGTGGTTTTTAGACAGAATTTTTAATTTTTAAAGAAAATGCACCAAAATGCTAAAATAAAGAATGCACACATTTAAAACACTATTAGACACTCATTTATACAGTTCATCAGCAAAAAAAAGTTAATTTAGACGTTACTTGCTCTTTAAGCTGACACAATTCCCATCATGTCATTTAAAACGGTTTGCAGTCGAGTGTGAAGCAGCTGGAACGAGAATCAGCTCTTCTAAGTTAGAGACCATGGTGTTGAAGGTAGAATGCCTTCTCCAGGTCAGGGATGAGGTTCTGTCCCAAGTGGAGGAGTTCAAGTATCTCGGGGTCTTGTTCATGAGTGAGGAAAAGCTGGAGCGTGAGATCGATAGGCGGATTGGTGCCGTGTCTGCAGTGATGCAGGCGTTGTACCGGTCTGTCTTGTTGAAGAAAAAAAAACTGAATCGGAAGGCGAATGTCTCCATTTATTGGTCGATCTATGTTCTTACACTCACCTATGGTCACAGGCTGTGGGTGGTGACCAAAAGAATGAGATTGTGGATACAAGCGGCCAAATTTTTCTCTGCAGGGTGTCTGGGCTCTCTTTTAGAGATAGGATGAATCTCTCCTAGATGAATTACTGGCTTGGTAATTCGTCTGGGAGAGATTTGGTGTAGATCTGCTGCTCCTCCATGAAGAGGAGCCAATTGAGGTTGCTCTGGCATCTAGTTAGGATGCCTACTGGACACCTCCCTGGTGAGGTTTTCCAGGCACTTCCAATCAGGAGAAAGCCTAACGGAAAACCCAGCATGCGCTGGAGGGACTATGTCTGTTGGCTGGCCAGGAAACGCCTTAGGATTCCCCCCGAGGAGCTGGCACAAGTGGCTGGGGAGAGGGAAGCCTGGGCCTTCTTGCTTAGGCTACTGCCCCCGTGACCCGACCCCAGATAGTCAGCCGGGGGAAAAAAATGGATGGATGAATCAGAAATTTTTGACTTTTTTATTAGCAGAAAGACAACTGCCTGTCATCTGTCCCTCATATTTTTTTTTTGATTGTTAAGAGCTTTATATGTGAGAAGGAGGATCTTAAAATCTATTCTGAGCTTCTTTCTGGAGTATTTCTCTTATCTAATGGCACCATCTAGTGGCTGACAAGCGTATCACACAAAAACGCAGTTTTTTTCTGAGAGTGACTTCACGTTTCTGTTTATAAATGTGCTTCTGTAGCCGACAAACTGAGCTAAAACATGTTGTTTTACGAGTATTATTCTCATGTCATGTTGTGTTTTCATATATTTATATTTTAGAGACTTTCTTGTTCGTGAAAAGTTAATCAACTCTGCATCAGCCGAGGTATTCCTTAAATTTGAAGCGTCTAAGCGGCAGTCTAACGTTTTTGGTTAGTTGTGGCTGGCGCTCAGTTTCCTATTGCACGGAGCTCTGCCAGGCAATAGGAAACTGCCTAAGGCCTGCTTAACAATTTTTTTTTAAAGACGTTTTGCTTATATTATATCACAGTACATGATAAGATAATCACTTTTACGGATTTCTGACAAATCATGCATAATTTCTGAAAGAGGAAAACTCTGGAAAGCAGCTTTAACAGGCAGCCAATGTAGGGAAGCTAAGACAGGAGAGATATAATCTCTCTTTTTAATTCTCATCAGAACTCTAGCTGCAGCATTTTGGACAAGCTGAAGACTTTTAACTACATTCTGTGGACTTCCTGAGAGTAATGAATTACAGTAATCCAGTCTTGATGTAATAAATGCATGAACTAATTTTTCAGCATCACTGCCGGAAAGGATGCTTCTAATCTTAGCAATATTCCAAAGGTGGAAAAAAGAAATCCTGCAAACCTGTTTAATGTGGGATTTGAATGACATGTCCTGGTCAAAGATAACACCAAGGTTCCTTACTTTGTTCTCGGAGACAAATTTTGTCAGACGCGTGCCGGTGAGTGAAGCGGAGGCAGGATCCACAAGCAGGTGCAAAGGCAGGCAGGCAGACAAGCAGGAACGGTTTACAGGCTGTAATGCTAATCACGCTGACACAGAAACAATGATCCAACACGAGACACAAAACTGAAGGGATTTAAATACAAGAGGGATGGGAGCTTGGGTGATTGGAAAACAAGAGGCAGGTGGGAGCAATTAAAATGGACACATGACTAAACAGAATGGGGAGATAAGACAGGGTGTGACAGTACCCCCGCTCAAAGGGCGGATTTCAGACGCCCACAGGAACATAGAGCAGGGTGGGAGGAGGGAGGGCCGAGAGGGGCCGAGGGCCCGAGGAAGGGGAGGCAGGGACCAGTAGAGTCCGGGGGCCTGCGCCTGGGGCAGAGGAGGAGGCGACGACGGGCTCTTGGGGGCCTGCGTCTGTGGCAGAGGAGGTGGTGACGACGGGCTCTTGGGGACCTGCGTCTGATGAGGGCAGGACTGGCAGTGACCGGAGGCAGAGACGCCGGAGGAGACGTCCTTGACTTCTGGACTGGAGGCGGCGGCGTCGGTCCCTGGGCTGGAGGCGGCGTCGTCGGCCTCTGGACTGGAGACGGCGTCGACCACGGGACTGGAGACGGAGGAGACGTTGGACTGGAGGGGACATCGACCTCTGGACACGAGGGAGCGTTGACCTCTGGACACGAAGGAGCGTTGACCTCTGGACTGGAAAGAGTGTCGACCTCTGGACTGGAAAGAGCATCGATCTCTGGACTGGAAAGAGCGTCGACCTCTGGACCGGAGTGAGCGTCGACCTCTGGACCGGAGAGAGCGTCGACCTCTGGACCGGAGAGAGCGTCGACCTCTGGACCGGAGAGAGCGTCGACCTCTGGACCAGAGAGAGCGTCGACCTCTGGACTGGAGAGAGTGTTGACCTCTGGACTGGAGAGAGCGTCTACCTCTGGACTGGAGAGGCGTCGACCACGAGACTGGAAGAGGCGTCGACCACAGGACTGGAGGAGGCGTTGACAAATGGACTGGAAGAGGCGTCGACCACCATTGACTTCTGGTCCGTTGACTTCTGGACCGTTGACTTCTGGACCGTCGACTTCTGAACCGTCGACTTCTGGTCCGGGAGCGTCGACTTCTGGATCGTCAGCTTCTGGACCGCCGGCTTCTGGACCGCCGGCTTCTGGAGTGGAGGAGGAGTTGCTGCAGACGGGACCGCTTGGACAAGCTGGACCGGATGCGGTGCAACCTCCGGGACCACCGCTGGAACTGGATGCGGTGCGACCTCCGGGACCACCACGGGAACTGGATGCGACTGAACTGGTGGTGCTGGAAACTGGGAGAAGAGGGAGGATAGAGTGTCCAGTTGGAGCTCCTGGAGACTGAGGCTCTGATGGAGTTGGGCCAGCTCAGCTCGGAGACCGGCGAGCTCTGCTGGATGGACTGCAGGCTTGATCCTCTGGCTCTGAGACGAGGGTGGTGCTGACTGGACTGAAACCCTCTCCTGGTTATACGGGGAGGACAGGGTGTCCAGGTGGGACTCCTTGAGGCTGACGAGCTGACAAATCCGGCCAAGCTCCGCCTGGAGACCTGCAAGCTCTGTTAGCTGGGCTGTGGGGGTGGTTCCTCCGCCTGCAGATGATGGAGGTGCGGATTGGACCGGAGACGGGACTGTTGGTCTGACTGGGGGCAGGTCCAAGCAGGTGCACCGAGCCGGGGCAGCGGCGAGTGCGCGCCTCCGTCCTAGGACACAGGATTGCGGTGAAGCATGGAATCCTTCCCCACGCCGTGGGCCAGTTCCGGGGTAGCACACAGCCAGTCTGGTGCCCATGAAGCTGGGGCGATCCGGAAGCGTCTCCCGGTCCAACCTCTCATCTGGCTCCGGGAGGGTGGAGGGGAACGCCGAGGCTGAGGGTCGGTGACGGCATCGGAGGCGACGCCGGAGGAGGAGAAGCCGGCCGGTGGTCGGAGGATAGGAACTGGAGCAGGCACTCCCAGGTAGGAATGGGTACCTTTGACATTTGAATCGATCCGGTACTAATTCCCGGTACCTACGAAACGATACCGGTACTTAACGGTACCAATTTTCGATACTTTTGAGTGTTAAATATTTTAATTCTCTTTTACATTTAAATATATATTTTTCTCAAGATATAACAATATTTGATAAATATCACGATAAATAACATTCAACTGTTTGTATTTTAACATCGTCCTTGTAGTTTTATAAGCTGATAATTAAACTGAAGCAAACATCTTTACTGTGAACTAAATTTACTGTGTATCTTCATTCCTTTTGCCATCTTTTTTCATTTGATTTTTCCTACTGGGAAGTTAGAATTTCCGAGGAGAAAGCGAACGCACCATTAGCTGATAACAACGGTGGCAATGGAAGCTAACATATCAAGCTAACATTGTCTTTAACAGTTTATTTAACTGCTGGAGCAGATTAAAACGATGATGCCTCACACTTAGATCGTTGTCACTGGTTTCATCTTGACCCAATCACCCGTCGCATTTAGTAAAGTGAAGCCAAACTTTAGAGCGCGTTCTTCTAGTCGGGAAATCTGAGTTCCGAGGAGAAAGCGAACGCACCATTAGCGAAACGGAAGCTAACATATCAAGCTAATTATATTTACCTACCGGAGCAGATTAAGATGAGGACGTCTCACTTAGATCGTTGTCGCTGGTTTCATCATGACCCAGTTCCCCATCACAATTAGTGAAGTGGACCCAAGCTTTAGCCTGTGTTCTTTCTACCGTGCTGCTCTGTTTACAACTGGCTCGCAGTGACCAACGACAAAACGCTCTTGCGCATGTGCAGCTGTCTAGGCAAGTTCTCGTTAGGAAGGACGGGTACCGAAACAAGGCACCCTTTGAAATTACGTGAATCGGTGCTCGGTCGGTACTATGGAATTCGGTCGGTACCTCAAAAAGTACCGAATTCGGTACCCATCCCTACTCCCAGGGGAGAATCTCCCCGCTGGATCCTTTAACGGGTTGGATCATTCTGTCAGACGCGTGCCGGTGAGTGAAGCGGAGGCAGGATCCACATGTGGGTGCAAAGGCAGGCAGGCAGACAAGCAGGAACGGTTTAAAGGCTTTAATGCTAAACACGCTGACACAGAAACAATGATCCAACACGAGACACAAAACTGAAGGGATTTAAATACAAGAGGGCTGGGAGCTTGGGTGATTGGAAAACGAGAGGCAGGTGGGAGCAATT